TGCTGGGTCAAATGGTATTTCTAGTTCTAGATGCTTGAGGAATCGTCAGACTGTCTTCCACAATGGTTAAACTAATTTACACTCCCGACAACAGTGTAAAAGTGTTCCTATTTCTCTACATCCTCTCCAGCATCTGTTGTTTCCTGACTTTTTAATGATTACCATTCTAACTGGTTTGAGATAGTATCTTATTGTGGTTTTGATTTGCATTTCTCTAATGACCAGTAATGATAAGCTTTTTTTCATTTATGTGTGTTGGCCACATAAATGTCTTCTTTTGAGAAGTGTCTCTTCATATCCTTTGCCCACTTTTGGATGGGGTTGTTTGCTTTTTTCCTGTAAATTTAAGTTCTTTGTAGATCTAGATATTAGCCTTTTGTCAGGAGGATAGATTGCAAAAATTTTCTCCCATTTTGTAGGTTGCCTGATCACTCTAGTGATAGTTTTTTTGTTTTGTTTTGGTTTGGTTTTGCTGTGCAGAAGCTCTTTAGTTTAATTAGATGCCATTTGTCTATTTTGGCTTTTGTTGCCATTGATTTTGGTGTTTTAGTCATGAAGTCCTTGCCTATGTCCTGAATGGTATTGCCTGGGTTTTCTTCTAGGGTTTTTATGGTGTTAGGTCTTATGTTTAAATCTTTAATCCATCTGGAGTTAATTTTTGTATAAGGCGTAAGGAAGGGGTCCAGTTTCAGTTTCCCATATATGGCGTCAGTTTTCCCAACACCATTTATTAAATAGGGAATCCCTTCCCCATTGCTTGTTCTTGTCAGGTTTGTCAAAGATCAGATGGTTGTAGATGTGCGGTGTTATTTCTGAGGCCTCTGTTCTGTTCCATTGGTCTATATATCTGTTTTGGTACCAGTACCATGCTGTTTTTGTTACTGTAGCCTTGTAGTGTAGTTTGAAGTCAGGTAGCATGATGCCTCCAGTTTTGTTCTTTTTGCTTAGGATTGTCTTGGCCAGGTGAGCTCTTTTTTGGTTCCATATGAAATTTAAAGTAGTTTTTTCCAATTCTGTGAAGAAAGTCAATGGTAGCTTGATGGGGATTGCACTGAATCTATAAATTACTTTGGGGCAATATGGCCATTTGATGATATCGAGTCTACCTATCCATGAGCATGGATTGTTTCTCCATTTGTTTGTTTCCTCTTTTATTTTCTTGAGTAGTGGTTTGTAGTTTTCCTTGAAGAGGTCCTTCACATCCCTTGTTACTGTATTCCTAGGTCTTTTATTATCTTTGTAGCTGTTGTGAATGGAAGTTCACTCATGATTTGGCTCTCTGTTATTAGTGTATAGGAATGCTTGTGATTTTTGCACATTGATTTTGTCTCCTGAGACTTTGCCGAAGTTGCTTATCAGCCTAAGGAGATTTTGGGCTGAGATGATGTGGTTTTCTAAACATACAATCATGTCATCTGTAAACAGAGACAATTTGACTTCCTCTTTTCCTAATACCCTTTATTCTTTCTCTTGCATGATTGCCCTGGCCAGAACTCTGAATACTATATTGATTAGGAGTGGAGAGAGGGCATTCTTGTGCCAGTTTTCAAAGGGAATGCTTTCAGTTTTTGCCCATTCAGTATGATATTGGCTGTGGGTTTGTCATAAATAGCTCTTATCATTTTGAGATACATTCCACCAGTGCCTAGTTTATTGAAAGTTTTTAGCATGAAGTGGTGTTGAATTTTGTCAAAGGCCTTTTCTGCATCTATTGAGATAATTGTGGGTTTTGTCATTGGTTCTGCTTATGTGATGGATTACGTTTGTTGATTTCCGTATGTTGAACCAGCCTTGCATCCCAGGAATGAGGCCTACTTGCTCGTAATGGATAAGCTTTTTGATGTGCTGCTAGATTCTGTTTGCCAGTATTCTACTGAGGATTTTCGCATCAATGTTCATTAGGGATATTGGCCTAAGTTTTTTGTTGTTGTGTCTCTGCCAGGTTTTGGTATGAGGCTGACGCTGGCCTCATAAGATGAGTTAGGGAGGAGTCCCTCTTTCTCTATTGTTTGAAATAGTTTCAGAAGAAATGGTACCAGCTCCTCTTTGTACCTCTGATAGAAGGGCTGTGAATCCATCTGGTCCTGGGCTTTCTTTGGTTGGTAGGCTGTTAATTACTGCCTCAATTTTAGAACTTGTTATTGGTTTATTCAGGGATTCGACTTCTTCCTAGTTCAGTCTTGGGAGGGTGTATGTGTCCAGGAATTTATCCATTTCTTCTAGATTTTCTAGTTTATTTGCATAGAAGTGTTTATAGTATTCTCTGGCGGTAGTTTTTATTTCAACACAGTATACTTCTAAATCATAAACTATACTTCTTTTTTGTCTAGGACATTTCCAGACAAGCTGGCAGGGCAAATTATACTCAATATTTTAGGTAGCTTTTTATACTGGGATCTTGACTTACTCAGTTTTTCTTTCTCTGTAAGTGGAGTCTCTGGCCAGAATGAATTAGACAGCACTTTTGTGGCTTGTACATGGACACTCATTTTCATTTCTTGGACTCTGAGCCTCAATTTCTCATTCAAGTGGAGAAAGCATAACACAAGAATATGGTGAATACTATTTTTCATCTCATCATCAATGGAGAAGTAAAAACTATTGTATATAATTTCTCTGAAAACACTGGAAAATACTGCACTTTGAACAGTATTTTGTAGGATATTTTAGTTACTTTCTCAATGGTATATATTTTAAAAGCTTAGACCATATTATAAATTCATGGCTTTGCCACAGATTCTTATGTTCAGTTACCTTTCTAATAGAACCAATTAACAAAACAAAATACACATTCAAATGAAACATGTATCTAAACCATTTAGGAATAATTAAAATTATAGATCAGGTTTTCTTTCACTGATCACAAATCATGGTAATGCTTTTGTGGTGCTCATTTCCGGGCTCACTTTGGTGTGTTTATTAAAGCACAGTATTGTCAGATCACAGGGAGTATCTCATTTTCATTTTCATATCTCCAATTCTAAAGGGGATTAAATTATCCAATTAAGCTGTTAATTAAAAAGACTCCTACAGAATAAACTGCAGGTTACCAATGGCATTTTCAATTTCCATTGTGCTGTGCTCAAAAGCAATTTTCTAAATTGAGAAGAGCTCAAAGTTGTTACTGCCCCATACTTCACTTTATAAGGTGTGGCTGGGAATGCTCCCCAAGAACTAAACCCATTTGCTCTTCATTCTGGGCACACAGCTACAGTACATGTCTCAGCCTACCCTGCAGTTAGATCTGGCCAATGGAATATGAGCAGAAGTAATGCAGACAACATCCAGGACAATCCCAAATCTTCCATTCAATATCTTCCATGGCCTTTTTCCCTCCACTGGCTTCTTAGAGATGAGCATACATTCAATCATGTATTGAAAATGGCAGAACCATAATATGGAAGGAGTCTGGGTCCCTGAGTCACCAGTTAGAGGAGAAAAACTCATTGATCATTAATACCAATTATGTATGTAATGAAAACAAGAAATAAACTGGGTTAAGCCATTGAGATTATCTGTTTCTACAGCTAGTGTGATCTTAATAAAGAAAGCAAGTGAACTTGAGGCACATGCAAATATATTAAACCTAACTGGAAATAGCCTCTTGCAAATTTTGATCAGGTCCACTTAGATACATATTTTAAAACCTAAGCAAACTTATTACCTCTTTGTTCTCATAAAATTACATAGACCACAGCAAGAAAAATTCTACACTTCTTGCCTTCTTTGTCTCAAAGCTCCTCCTTCCAGTCCACATCCCGAAGATCACTCATAAACACTCATTTATATGCATCTTTCCTTGTGCCACTACCCTATACACAAAAATTCTCATTTCATGGATCATCTTGGAAAGTAGAATAAACTCTCTAAGAGGGACACAAACAGGCCATAATCAGCTACTGATTACCCACAACCTCTGTGTCATCTGATGTCCGTTTCCTGTACATGATGATATGATCTACTACACAGATGGACTGACCTAGGATACTACAAACTAGTACTTTTCCAGATCTTTGAATATATCAGTGCCAGAAAGGTGTTTAAAATAATCAACAGGGGACTCAATCTGCACTCTCAGCATAACACTAAAAGACACCACAGAGAAATCAGTATAAATTCTGTTATATGCCTCTGGATTTGTCTGAACTCAAGGAGGTAGTCGGGCATGCAGAGTCCCATACCACTCATTGTCTAAGGGTCACCAGGCATTTCCAGTTCTCTGAAAGTGCACTGGGTAAAGAGGCTCCAGTAGCATGAGGGCAGCCATCCTAGAGAGCACAGTCAATTAGAAACAAAAGCAGACTGAAGATGAGGTAAGGGCACCCAGTAAAAGGAATTTGCTGGGATCTCCACAGAGGAAACACCAATAGTATCCACAAGATGAAAGTTGAATAATTCTTTCTGTGTTTCAAATCACAACATGAAGTATTTATATATCATTATCACTCAGTAGGGTAATTGAAACAGTTTATATAAACCCATCTCCCATGTTAGACTAGACTGTTCACTGAGGCCCAGATACTGTATATTATCCACCTAAATATAGCTAGTTTTGTGATTTAAATATAATGGGTGCTCAGTTACTGTGTGCTGAATGAAAGACTAGAAATTAACTGGATTGTTAAAGAATGATAACACAGATTCTTTGATTTGATAGTAACAGTGATGTTCACTGTCATTTTTGTGAGATCAGCCCTGTCCCCTATCATCGTTGATAATTTCTTCAGAGGTATCTCTTTTTCTCTATAGAAATATTATTACAAAGGCAGTAAACCACATCTGCTGACTTACATTCTGGAAGAAAATATAATGACAACCTCGTAAATACCTTCTTGTCTATGGAGAAAATTACTGCATTCAAATCCCACTTTTCTAAGCCAAGAAAGCTAGTATAGTACAGTTATTGTACACCGTTTTTGGCAAATGTTGTCTAAAACAGGATGAAATATGTTAATAGATCTAACACATTTTAATATTTTTAAAAAAAGAAACAGAACACCTTCAACCAACTTTTTATTGTACTTAGAATGACTGTTCCATTGTTTCATAAGTAGGAGAAGAAAATACAACCAGTCTCACAATAACCATTTAGATATAAAATCCAAGAATACCCTTCTTCAAATCAGAGGGACACCGTCACTGGTGAAGAGAATATTGTATGAAGCAATTGTATATTCTTCCGTAATTTAATATGCAACTGAGGCCTTATGTTAAATGTATCCAGGAAGAAGCCTATCAAATGTTAAGTGATTACAGAAATACTGATTGAAGAAATGTATTTAGAAATGGGATAATCTAAGGGATGGAGGTTAATCCACAGGTCAGTAGACCAAAGGCCAAAGACTGCTTTTCCTTCCTGTGGGATACTTAACAAGAGATTTCAGGCTTCTCCACTTCTCTGGCACAAGCATAATCTGTCTGGCAAGTCATAGCTCCTAGCTGCTTCTTAGTGATGCTCCAGGGCTAAATAAGATAAAATTTATGTGCTATGCTTTAAGCTTCATTGAGGCAAGGCACTAAATAAACTTCAGGATAATTTATGAATCCTGTTTGCATTAGTTATGTCCAAGTCCATCTCATAAAATGAATAAATGAGAACAGGAGGCCAATGCTGACTTGGTGAAAGGTTCAGTACACTTTGGGCAATGGTGATGAGCCCAAATAAAACCACTTTATATCTAGAAAATTTTTTTACTAATCTAGGAGATTTTCACACACACAAAAAACTAACTAACTCCTTCCAATGCCCAGACAATAGTTCACTGGCAGAACATCTGGTATGTGAATAAGAGAACTGCAGCCCTAGTCTGAGATCCAACATCTAATTTCCTTTTAATTTACCATAATTATTTTTGTAAAACTTTATAGCTCTACTCCAATGAATGTGCTTAGCAAGGATTGCCAAAATCTTGTCTTCTTTTCAGAGCCACATCCATAGGCCAGCTTCTTCCTACTTTTTTCTTTCCCTTCCAGTTGCATTTTACCTTTCTCTTTCTGACAGTTAATCAGTGTCTGTTTATCTTAGCAATCTGTATCCAAGAGAAAGGACGATGAGAATGTGATTGGAAGAGTTAAACATAAGCATATATTTGGAAATTCAATCCTTCTAATTGTTCTAGCTAGTAGTGATGATTTGGTATTGCTGCTTTTCGTTTGTTGTTTTATTTAGTTTGATTTAGTAGTGGACAGCCTATCTGCAATTATCAGTATAACTGAGTTACAGCAATTAAAGTTAATCAGGATAAGAAAACTTTCTCATCTAGAAACTGTGAGGGCCCCAACTAATCACCAAGCAGTTTTGCTAAACCAACAAATGACTTAATTTCTATTTCCAAAGCCATAATTCTATGCTTTTATCAAACACTTTCTCTGACCTGCAGGAATGTGTTTTTTTGGAGTTTCTAAAGGAAATCTAGAAGAGAAACACTATTCATATTGGCATAATAAACCTCAGCTGATTTTAAACACCCAAGTGCAGGAATAAAACAAAGATAATCTCATATGTCTAAACCAAGTCAGACTCCTTCCTCCAGAGAAAAGACACATACATTTCCAGCACCCCTAACCTCATACTGCTTGTTTTTAGAAATACAAACTAAGGTCACATGAAGCCAGGTTAAGAGGAGGAAAAGGTAGCTGCCCTTCACAAGTTTATCCATTCAGAGAGGAAGAAGTCAAGGTGAAAATTGCTCTCCTCTGACTAATGCAGTATAATTGTTTCCTCATGATGGTGCCCCTCCATTTTTCTCCCTTCAGATGTTCCCATGGCTACAAAAGGCCATGGCACACACTTATATATTTTTAAAAAATCACAAATCACAGGGATACACAATGGCTTCCTGTGGTTAATCTGAACTTGTCGTTTTGCTTTTGAGATTTTCCAATTGGCCCACTTAACCCAGCAGCTTATGTATAACGAATAATGTAAAGGGAGTGTGGGGATGCCTATTTTAAGAAACCAGAAATGCCAAGTAAGAACTTTAAGGCCATTACAATTTTATCCTACACACACACACACACACACACTCACACACACACACACACACACACACACACACACTTTCTCTCTCACTAATAAGAAACAAAGTGGTTCACTTGTCAGGATAATGCTCTAAGGATAAAACACATAGTACTGCTCTTTCTCACAACTCTTCACATGACTTGAAGAGTAACAATTTTGTTTATTTGGACTATGCAGGTAATTTTAAGTTGAATCAATAAATTCTAAAATGTCATCTAGAAACTTTTCAAAATTCTAAAATGTCATCTAGAAACTTTTCAAAAAGGTTTTTTTTAAAGAGAGGTAACATTAAGCTGAAACAGAAGGGCTCTTTTCTCCCTCCTCAATGCGATGTTTGTTCCTTTGCACTAAAGGGAAATGAAAGTCATATGTTCCTAATGGAGAATCAGAAAATTCTTTTCTCAAATCTGTTCATTTCAGAACCAGGACAATGCACACATAGGAAGGTTATGAAACAAACAAGAATTAGGCTTTTAAAAAAGTATCTAGCACATAGACAATCATTGCACAGTTCATACAGATGAGACAAAATTTTATCTCCTAGTTTCCCTGCTGTTATGTAACTAGGAGGCTTTACTTACTCTGGGACCTAAAGATACATCCTCATTCCCTTTTTTCTATTTAATAAACTCAAATCCTTTACCTAGTAGCCTTTCTGCCAGCTTTGTTCATGCTAACTTGAACGGGGCAATCTGCTACATCAGATGCAAGCTGTGAGACACGTTTTCATTCCAATAGACTCCAAAGCTGAGGCAAAAACTTCATCAAAAATTGTAAAATGGAGATCAAACATATTTCTCATTTAACTACCTTAGAGTTGAGAAATGCTTTGTAATTACTGTCCATAAAATCTTGCACTGCATGCCACAGAGCAGCAAGACCTCCCAGGTATTCATGCACATGTCTTCATCACTGAGCGGTTACAAGTTTAATAGACTGAACTTTACAAAGCTACAGATTGAAATGGTATGTACCACATAACTGTGGCTAACACACTAAACTGAACAATAGCAACAATTTAACAGATAGCATTTTAACAAAAGTAGCCTAGAGATTTTTGTTGGTTTGGTTTTCTAAAGAAACATACTTGGTTCATTCTTGTATTCCATTTTATAAGCCCTACAGCTTTAAATAGATACTGTCTAGATCCAAGCAGGTCATCTACCCAAATAATGAAAATGCACTACAAATGAAAGTCTTCAGGCCTAAAGCAATGGGTGATGACGGCTCAGTGCAGCCTCCGCTGGCACTGTGCAACTGTCTCAGGATGCCATAAACCAGTGTCCCAGCTACCAGAGTCGGCAGGAGTCGATGTCTCTGTTCATTGTGGAATTGGGTGGACAGTTAAAAGCTTTCTGGAATTCTTCAAAGTTACTAATTGCACCATTGACCCTGAAAAAAGATATGTCAAAGCATGTGTCATGTGATTCTTGCACATCAATAGGTTCTGTATAAAATTGTAGCAGAATATTGCTAAAAAGAATGCTGGCATTCTTGTAATCTGCTTACAGGGAGAGAACTAAAGCCCAAAATAATTAAGTAAATTTCCAAAAAGATTAACAGACTAGAACCAGCATCTCCTGAATGCCAAGCAAATGCTCCTATTACTCTTCCAACAGTCTTCAAATTCTTATAAAACTGTATCATCACCAATACTTAGATTTTCTAACTTTTTAAAAACTTTAATTCTTTATGGAAAGTATGACATAAAGTACACAAAATATTAAATGTAGAACTTGTCGGGGTTTTTGTGTGTATATGCCCATATTACTTTCTGCCAAATCAATACATTCCAGCACCCAGAAGGCTCCTGCCTGTCCCAGACCAACAGCATCTCCAAAGATAACCACTATTCTGACCTCTATTGCCATAGCCTTGCCTGATTTTGAACTTCATGTGAATGGAATCCACAGTATGTACTGTATGGTCTTTGACTTTTTTCATCAAATATAATGTCTGTAAGAGTCATCCATGCTGTTGCATTTCCAGCTATTTTTAAAACATTCATTCGCTCTACAAAAACATTTTCTCAGAATTAGTGTTAAGTATGGAGGCTCATAGTTGGCCAGAATTTGATTAATGCAACAATCAGTTAATGCATGGTATCTAGTTATCACTGATGAGTAATTCTTCACTGGAGTTAGCTCCAATATATCACATTCTTATAGGTTTCCAACTACAGTGAAGAGTGGATTCCTACTCAGCACTTTGCCTGTAGCTGCCTTTTGGAAGTGGTATTACCATTGTGTGATTTCTGCTGCACTCAAAATTTATAGTTACTGCAGACATCAGAAATAAGCCAGCCAAAAAAAAAAACCCTCCCCCCTTCATCTATTTCCTGCTCAGCTTCATGTTCAAAGGGTTGACTAGAGACTTAGCATTCTCAGTCGATGACTATTTCTTCCCTAATGACTTTGTTACCTACGGGCATTTGAATAAATGTAATGGACTGTATCAAAAAAATCCTTATAACCTCTGTGTTTTAGCTGAATATATGGGTAGGGATGCATATTTCATAGTGTGATTCACCCTAGGCAAGTGTTAAAGATAGAATATAGCTGATAATTAGTAAGCATACACTGTGAAATTCAACATTACGGGCAACTAGTTAAGTTTTCAGAAACTTATTTCCTTTAACTATCTGTTGAGCAATTAATCTACTGTGTGGTTTCATCTGCACCATTTGTCAGTGGGAACACATTTTAGTCCATTAGAGACCATCAGCCTTCATGACAGTTTAGCCCAGTGGGGGAGAAATTTCCAACACAGTGATTAGACTTTTATGCTAGTGGGTAATTTGTAGTCAATTTCTGAAGCATTTCTAAGGCAAGATCTTAGGAATAAGATTTTAAGAGAAATTTTAGATGGCTTTCTTGCAGTATGATAATGACTTATTTAAACATTAAATATAAAGATATCCAGATATAATGTCCTAAACAAAGAGTGAATACATATAAATTATTAGGGTTTCTTGGATTTCTCATCATACTTATCTTTCCCCTAGTATAGAAAATTTCTCTCAACCTACAGGAGCTACTACAGGGTAAGTAATATTAACTTTAATTTTATTTGTACTCAACGTTTTATACATTCTGACAAGACTGTAATTTATAATCCTTTTCCCTTTTTATATAAGCAACTGTTTCAAAATATGATCCAAACTGAAAGCCAAAATGTAGACTCTGTAACTCTAGGTACAAATTATAATTGCTAAACAATACCATATATCCTCCTTTGTGTTCAGAGCTGTTTAGAAAGGGGGAGTTCATTCACGTTTGTTGGTTGACTGTGTGGAAGAACAAGAGGTATTAAAGGGGATATTCTTTAAAACAAAATAAACCAGAGCTCTAAGTGGTTTTAAGGCAGAGTACATCAGATCTCATCCTTTCCTAAGACAATAAAGGCTAGTTTGTTTTGGACCGAAAAAGCAAGCAGTTCAATAATCCAGTTTACTGAGATTCTTTCAAAAACTAGAAGATAACAAATGGGATTTAATACTAAAGCTATGATTTGGATTCCAAATTACCTTTGGAATGTTGTACAGTCTCATGGGCCCTTGATGTAGCACTAGACTAGAGATGTATGTACAAGTACCCACCCGCAGAAATTCAGTTGAGAGACTGCTGACTATACCAGCCTACTACTAATGAAAGAAAAGATACTTAGTTTCTGTGAGGCCAGATAGTTTTTAGCTGCAAAATGGAAATCATACAGTTCACAACATGGGATTTTTTCAGCTCACCTATCTGGTAGAGCCCTTGGATGGCTGGGTGGGGGAGGAAGTGGGGAGATGCACAGGTAATAACCGCCATCACCCATTTACCTAAACTGAGGGGGGCTGTGAGCGCCAATTTGGACTTGTTCTCGGGCAGCTTCTGGTCTGTAGGAATTGCACCTCACCTAGAAGAGAAATGCATGGCAACAAATGAACTTCCATTCCAATTATGTATTTTCTACTGTCTTAACTGCTCCAAATTATACTAAAGAATACTTTTAGATTCAATGGATGACAAACAGTTTTAGTAGATCAAATAAAATCGTCATCAGTAATAACATCTATTATTCTGATCCCCAGAGTAGAGGAAGATTTTATCAGTGTGAATAATTTCACAATCTGAGTACATTAGAAAGGTTTCCAGACAAGTGCTTTAAATCAAGAGCATCATATATGTGCCTAGGAATCGATCAGTGTATTCATTCAATGAATTTAATGTTTGAAATAGTCCTTCTCAAATTTCACCATAGTTATTCAAATCAATAAAATGAACCAGCCACCCATTATTGAGGATGGTGATGAGAATTAGTAGTCTGCCGCCCTAAGCGCCTTGCTTGCTTCACCCTAGTGTAGGCCTAGGATTCTCCATCTCCTTTGAAGCTGGGCACAGCTAGATGGCTTGCCTCTGGCCTCTGAAGTGTGAGCAAAAGTAATATATGTTACTTCCTGACAGAAGTTTTAAGAGCCTTAAGATGCTACGTAAATGGCCAGTGCACATTTCTTTTCCACTCCTGTGGTATCCATGGAACCACATGTCAAGAAATAGACTCTAAAACCCAAATTCCCTTTTTTTTTCTGAGACAGAGTCTGGCTCTCACCCAGGTTGGAGTGCAATCGCAGCTCACTGCAACCTCCAACTCCTGGGTTCAAGCAGTTCTCCTGCCTCAAGCAGCTGGGATTACATGTGCACACAACTATGCTCAGCTAATTTTTGTATTTTTCTTTAGTAGAGACGGTGTTTTACCATGTTAGCCACACTGGTCTCGAACTCCTGACCTCAGGCAATCCACCCACCTTGGCCTCCCAAAGTGCTGGGATTACAGGCATGAGCCACCACGCCTAGCCCAAAACTCAAGCTCTTGAGTAAAAACTAAAAGAGCCCCACTGCTGATTCATGTTAGACATGGAGAGTGAACAAGAAATAAACTTATGTTGTGTTGCTTCTGCAACGTAACCTATTTTGTCCTGACTTGACATGTGACTTGAGATACGATATGGTCTTAAAGGATGAATTGAACCAGAACACATAAATATGGAAAAATATTCTAAGTGGAGGGGGAAATGGGAGCAAAGATTTGGCTGAGAGGAAAGAGAACAAGACATTTAGCTAGGCTGCATATAATGGTGCATAACAGGCTGCAGGGGGAGAGGAAGGACAGTGTCAGATTTCTGAAGTCCTGAACAATTGACCAGAGTGTTTAAACTATAGTTAAAAGTCATTCTTGAGCAGGAAAATAATAATATCCAGATTTTTAAAAGATTTATCTGGCAGGGGTGTATAGTAGGAGGAAGAAATTAGAGACTAGTTAGATTATTTATAGATAACAGGAAGGTTCTCAATGGATGTCCCCTAAATAAGTAGAAAATAGAATGGAAAGAAGAGAAGGATTAGAAGAATATCTGAGCAAAATGACAGGTCACAGCAACTACAGGGATATAGAAAGCAGGAAAGGTAATACAATGTTGTTGCTTTTTTTTTTTTAATTGCATTTTAGGTTTGTGGGTACATGTGAAGAACATGGAAGATTTTTGCATAGGTACACACGTGGCAGTGTGATTTGCTGGCTTCCTCCCCATCACCTATATCTGGCATTTCTCCCCATGCTATCTCTCCCCAACTCCCCACCCCCCACCGTCCCTCCCCTATTTCCCCCCCAACTGACCCCAGTGTGTAGTGCTCCCCTCCCTGTGTCCATGTGTTCTCATTGTTCAACACCCGCCTATGAGTGAGAACATGCAGTGTTGGATTTTCTGCTCTTGTGTCGGTTTCCTGAGAATGATGGTTTCCAGGTTCATCCATGTCCCTACAAAGGACATGAACTCATTGTTTTCGATGGCTGCATAATATTCCATGGTGTATATGTGCCACATTTTCCCTGTCCAGTCTATCATTGATGGGCATGTGGGTTAGTCCCAGGTCTTTGCTATTGTAAACAGTGCTGCAATGAACATTCGTGTGCACGTGTCCTTACAGTAGAACGATTTGTAATCCTTTGGATATATACCCAGTAATGGGATTGCTGGGTCAAGTGGAATTTCTATTTCTAGGTCCTTGAGGAATCACCACACTGTCTTCCACAATGGTTGAACTAATTTACACTCCCACCAACAGTATAAAAGTGTTCCTACTTCTCCACATCCTCTCCAGCATCTGTTGTCTCCAGATTTTTTAATGATCGCCATTCTAACTGGCGTGAGATGGTATCTCAATGTAGTTTCGATTTGCATTTCTCTGATGACCAGTGATGATGAGCATTTTTTCATATGTTTGTTGGCCTCATGTATGTCTTCTTTTGCAAAGTATCTGTTCATATCTTTTGCCCACTTTTGAATGGGCTTGTTTGTTTTTTTCTTGTAAATCTGTTTTAGTTCTTTGTAGATTCTGGATATTAGCCCTTTGTCAGAGGGGTAAACTGCAAAATTTTTTCCCATTCTGTTGGTTGCCGATTCACTCTAATGACTTTCTTTTGCCATGCAGAAGCTGTGGAGTTTGATTAGGTCCCATTTGTCTATTTTGGCTTTTGTTGCCAATGCTTTTGGTGTTTTAGTCATGAAGTCCTTGCCTATGCCTATGTCCTGAATGGTTTGCCTAGATTTTCTTCTAGGGTTTTTATGGTGTTAGGTCTTACGTTTAAGTCTTTAATCCATCTGGAGTTAATAATTTTAGTGTAAGGTGTCAGGAAGGGGTCCAGTTTCTGCTTTCTACACATGGCTAGTCAGTTTTCCCAACACCACTTATTAAACAGGGAATCCTTTCCCCATTGCTTGTTTTTGTCAGGTTTGTCAAAGATCGGATGGTTGTAGATATGTTGTGTTGCCTCCGAGACCTCTGTTCTGTTCCATTGGTCTATATCTCTGTTTTGGTACCAGTACCATGCTGTTTTGATTACTGTAGCCTTGTAGTATAGTTTGAAGTCCAGTAGTGTGATGCCTACAGCTTTGTTCTTTTTGCTTAGAATTCACTTGGCTATGTGGGCTCTCTTTTGGTTCCATATGAAGTTTAAGGTGGTTTTTTCCAGTTCTGCGAAGAAGGTCATTGGTAGCTTGATGGGGATAGCGTTGAATCTGTAAATTACTTTGGGCAGTATGGCCATTTTCACGATCTTGATTCTTCCTAACCATGAACATGGAATGTTTCTCCATCTGTTTGTGTCCTCTCTTATTTCGTTGAGCAGTGGCTTGTAGTTCTCCTTGAAGAGGTCCTTTACATTCCTTGTTAGTTGTATTCCTAGGTATTTTATTCTCTTTGTGGCAATTGTGAATGGCAGTCCATTCTTGATTTGGCTCTCCTTAGGTCTGTTATTGGTATATAGGAATGCATGTGATTTTTGCACATTGATTTTGTATCCTGAGGCTTTGCTGAAGTTGTTTATCAGTTTCAGGAGATTTTGGGCTGAGACGATGGGGTCTTCTAGATATACAATCATGTCGTCTGCAAATAGAGATAATTTGACTTCCTCCTTTCCTATTTGAATATCCTTTATTTCTTTTTCTTGCCTGATTGCTCTAGTACTGGCTAGAACTTCCAGTACTATATTGAATAGGAGTAGTGACAGAGGGCATCCTTGTCTAGTGCCAGATTTCAAAGGGAATGCTTCCAGTTTTTGCCCATTCAGTATGATATTGGCTGTGGGTTTGTCATAAATAGCTTTTATTATTTTGAGATACATTCTGTCAATACCTAGTTTATTGAGGGTTTTTAGCATAAAGGACTGCTGTATTTTGTCAAAGGCCTTCTCTACATCAATTGAGATAATCATGTGGTTTTTGTCTTTGGTACTGTTTATGTGGTGAATTACGTTTATAGACTTGCGTATGTTGAACCAGCCTTACATCCCCAGGATGAAGCCTACTTGATCATGGTGGATAAGCTTTTTGGTGTGCTGTTGCAATTGGCTTGCCAGTATTTTATTGAAGATTTTTGCATCTATGTTCATCATGAATATTGGCCTGAAGTTTTCTTTTCTTGTTGAGTCTCTGCCGGGTTTTGGTATGAGGATGATGTTGATCTCATAAAATGATTTGGGAAGGATTCCCTCTTTTGGGATTATTTGGAGTAGTTTCAGAAGGAATGGTACCAGCTCCTCTTTGTATGTCTGGTAGAATTCGACTGTGAACCCGTCTGGACCTGGGCTTTTTTTTTGGGTGGTAGGCTCTTAATTGCTGCCTCAATTTCAGACGTTGTTATGGGTCTGTTCAGGGTTTCGGCTTCTTCCTGGTTTAGGCTTGGGGGGAGGCAAGTGTCCAGGAATTTATCCATTTCTTCCAGGTTTACTAGTTTATGTGCATAGAGTTGTTTATAATAATCTCTGATGATGGTTTGAATTTCTGTGGAATCTGTGGTGATATCCCCTTTATCGTTTTTTATTGCATCAATTTGGTTATTCTCTCTTTTCTTTTTTATTAATCTGACTAGTGGTCTATTTTGTTGATCTGTTAGAAAAACCAGCTACTGGATTTATTCATATTTTGAAAGGTTTTTTGTGTCTCTATCTCCTTCAGTTCTGCTCTGATCTTAGCTATTTCTTGCCTTCTGCTAGCTTTTGAGTTTTTCGATCTTGCTTCTCTAGCTCTTTCAATTTTGACAATAAGGGTGTCAATTTTAGATCTCTCCTTGCTTCTCATGTGGGCACTTATTGCTATATATTTTCCTCTAGAGACTGCTTTAAATGTGTCCCAGAGATTCTGATATGTTGTGTCTTCATTCTCGTTGGTTTCGAATAACATCTTTATTTCTGTCTTCATTTCATTGTTTATCCAGTCAACATTCAAGAGCAAGTTGTTCAGTTTCCATGAAGCTGTGCGGTTCTGAGTTAGTTTTTGAATTCTGAGTTCTAACTTGATTGCACTGTGGTCTGAGAGACTGTTCGTTATGATTTCCGTTCTTTTGCATTTGCTGAGGACA